TTGCTTTTGCTTAGAGGCATTCACATCACCGCATCTCCCACTTCTTGTTGTGACCACCATAACATGATTGTTCCCACCCTTTGGGTTTACTACCATATCACTTGGTAGAGTACCCTTCGGGCGAGTATTCAATGGCTGAGAGATTTGGCCTAATTGCACCTCCAAGTTTCGGATAGAGGTGTTGTGAGAAGCTAACTGTGCATCAAAATCCGCATTCCTCTTCATCATTTGCTCGAACATCATTTCAATTCTACCCATATCATTACCAGAAGAACTAGGAATTGAGAAAGGAAAGGGGGTGGATTGTTCGGTTGTTGGTACATTGGGGGCCTTTGAAAGCCTTGCCCCCGGTTGCCTTGGTTTCCATTGTTGTTCCACCCACCTTGATTGTTGTTGTTGCCCCAATTGTTGTTATTTCCATTCCAATCGCGTTGGTTGTTGTTTTGATTACCCCAATTGTTGTTTTGGTTGTTGTTGTTCCAATTGCCACCACCTTGTTGTTAATTTCCCCAATTCCCTTAAGGTCGTCATTATTGATTTGAAGAGTTGCCTCTATTGCTTTGATAATTGTTGACATATTGTATCTCTTTACTTTGGTCATCATAACCATCATTTTGACACCCATCATATTCATCAACAAATTGCTCAGAATTTTCTTGATTTTGTTGCCTCATTTGCCTTCTCTTGTTGACAAGCATACTAACACCCTCTATGGCATTCACTTGGCGAGGATTCTGAACTTGTTGCAACTATGCCTTAGCCAACTGGTTCATAGTAGTAGTAAGCTCAGCTATCGCTTGCCCGTGGTCGTGCAATTCCTTGTGCAAATGGATAATCGTAGGGTCACCTTGAGGCACATTTGCTCTACTCTGCCATGCTAAAGAAGTGTCTGCCATTTCATCAAGTACTTCACATACCTCATCATAAGAAAGCTTCAGAAAATTGCCCCCGACCAATTGGTTAACAATGCATTGATTTGTAGTATTTATGCCTTGGTAGAAGGTTTGTTGTATCATGGCCTCAGTCATATCATTATTTGGGCACTCCTTCACCATCGTTCTATACCGCTCCCAAATCTCATGCAAAGGTTCCATTGGCTCTTGCTTGAAGGCTAATATTTCATCTCGAAGTGCCACCATATGACTAGGAGAGAAGAATTTGGCAATAAACTTATCCGCCAACTCATCCCAAGTTGTGATGGAGTGGTTGGGGAGTCTCTCGAGCCAGTATAATGCCTTCCCCCAAAGTGAGAACGGGAAAAGTCTCAATCTCAGTGCATCCTCAGATATATTCGTCTGCTTGCTCCCCCAACATATATCTACGAACCCCTTGAGATGTTTGTAGGCATTTTGATTCGCAACGCCCGTGAAGTATCCATGTTGCTCAAGTAAGGTCAACATCACATTGGTTATCTAAAAGTTTCCCGCCCGGATTCTGGGTGGGACAATAGTACTTGCATAACCCTGGTTCGGAGGTACTCTGGGGGCCACTCTTGGAGGTGGCACAGGAGGGTCTGGAATATTGTCATTTGGATTTGCATTGGCATTGCGACCTCTACGTTGTCCTTGAGGTGCAAGAGGCACCTCATCTTGCTCAAGATCATCTACCTCCTCCCTCACTATCACGTTTCCAAGAGGGTCATTAGCGTTATTTAAAGCCATGTTGGTACCTGAGTAGTGACACAAACAAGTAAGTAACAAAGAAGGAAAGAAGAACAATACACAAAACTAACTAAATAGATAGCCAAAACCGTTAGCTCCCTGGCAACGGCAACAAAAAGTGATTACAGTCTACTCCACACTGCTAAAAATTAGGAAGAGAGGGTCGCAATAGCTTTTACCCGATTTGTGGGTCGGGATCAATTTCCACAAAGAGCTAGGAATGGAGTCGAGTATCTATTTAGATTGGGATTGTGTAATTGTTCCAAATATCACTTCCAATCATTTTTGGGTTTTTCTTTAATAATCTACTATTATCAACTACTAATTATAATTGCAACTAGATTATGCTAAGCGAGAATTGCTACAAGTTGTATCTAATGGATAAAAGGGCATTATGGTAGTAGCATCCTCCTAGGTGGCCAATTGACGGGTAATTGAACCTAAGGCACGATTGACATGATTGGGGAATATGCTATAACCGTTGTACAATTATATCCACTCTCACACCTCTCGGTAGAGAGAGTGATTTTGCCCATTGACTTTCTCAAGACCAATAGGGTAGGCAAATTTGCTCAAACAACTGGGGTTCAAGTCGGGTATTACTCTCTCTAGGTTTAACCCTTTAATTGGGCTATCAATTATCTTGAGTCCATCCCAATTCCTTGTTGGTTCCATTTTGGAGACTTAGGCTCTCTTTCTCAAGAAGAACCCAAGTCAACTTAGCACAAACTAGTGTTTGCAACCACTAATTCATAGATTAAACCATGAAATTGACCCAAATAACAAACACTCATAGTTAATCTAACCTTAAATCACAACACCCATCAATTACCCACACTAGGGTTGAGCCACAACCCTAGCTAATGAGTCTAGCTACTCATGCTTGAAGAGAAAAACAGAGAAATAGATGAAGATAAAGACATATTAATTAATTGCTAAGGTAAATACAAAGATTCAATGATAAAAACTAAGTAAAAATGTCCAAAATGGCTAAGAAAAGTCTTCTCACGAGCACAACCAAGGTCTGATAATATCTAATACCCTAAAAATGGAAAAAGGTTCTATTTATACTAAGCTGGAAAAACTAGACAAAAATGCCCCTGTGGGGTCAGTGCAGACCGCACAAAATGGTGTGCGGCCGCACTTGGCTCTTGACTCTAAAAAATCAACTCTCTGAACCTAGGCTCTACGGACCACACAGAATGGAATGCGGCCGCAGAGGAGTCCAGCGCGGTCCGCACAAACACGACCGCGGACCGCATAGGCTTTAATCTTGGCACTTGACATCTCTCTGAAGTTTGATTTCGCGGGCCGCATAAAATGGTAGTGCAGCCGCGGTGTCTTCAGTACGGACCACACAATATGTACTGCGGCCGCACTGCTTTGATTCCTTCAAATCCAGCTCTCTGAATCTCCCTAGTGCGGACCGCACAAAGTGTAGTACGCCCGCACTAGGCCTGTTTGTCCAGAGTTGTTTTTGTCTTTGGTACTTGTGCAGGTTTCACTCCTTTTGAGCCGATCTTTGACGTCTCGTCACTTTGTTGATCAAACCTGCAATCAAGCACAACTTATGAGCCTTTTGGGACTATTTTGTAAGAATTTATAATCAAAGCTTAAGCAAGAAGGAGCATAAAACACGTCAAAATCCCTAGTTATCAGTATTTCACACATTCTATCCGGAAAGAAAATGAAACATCATATCTACTATTGAAAGGATTTTTAGGAAAAAGATACAGTTTTCAAACTTACTCATATTTTTAATGATTTCGTTAAAGGATTTGGGCTTTCATTGGTATACTTGAAAAGTGGAACTGTTTTCGAAAAACTATGAAAAGGTCGAGCACTTTATCTTCGAGCTATTATTTATTTGCTTTACACTGTTATGAACTGCTATTTGTTATTGGTGTTGGACCAGACCTATGTTCCAACTCATCACTGCTTTCAACCTAAGTTTAGGTTTGTTACTTATTGAGTACATGTGGTCAGTTGTACTCATACTACACTTCCTGCACATTGCGTGCAGATTTTGAATGTCGATGTTGCAGCGTCCGATAGAAGTTGGATTGGAAGATGTACCTGCGTCACGGTTGTAGCTGCCTCTTGTTCATGGTAGCCTTAGATTATATAACTCTATTTATGTACTTTTCAAACAGAAGATGTATTTATTTCCTATCAGTTTTGAAATCTCTACTCTTAGAAGCTCATGATTTGTACTACCAGTCCTTGAGAAATGTATAAGATTCAGATAATGCCTTTGTTTAATTATTTTATTAAGTTAATTGGAAATGGATAAATATTAATTGGCATACCTAGCGGGTTGGGTTAGGTGCCATCACGACTAGTGGATTTTGGGTCGTGACATTAACAATGGCGGCAAAAATCGATCTTGACCATAATCACCCACTATTTCTTCACCCATCGGACACTATCAGAGCTCCGATCATCTCAATTCAGTTGACTGGTTTAGAAAACTATTCCACCTGGAGTCGTGTGATGGAGATCCAATTGTTAGGAAAAAATAAGCTAGGATTAATCGATGGTACTTTAAAAAGGGGAATTTTGATACGAAACTAGGTCATCAATAGGATAGATACTATGCTATTGTCCTAGGGTGGATTATGAGCTCAATGTCGAAGGAATTGATTACTGAATATTATATGCAAGAGATGCAAGAAAAGTGTGGGAGGATATGAGAGAACGATTTGATAAAGTGAATATATCACGAGTGTATCAACTACAAAAAGCCATAGAAACAATAACTCAGGGAACATACAATGTTTTAGTTTACTTCTCTAAACTCAAAAATTTGTGGGATGAGTTTGACAGCATTGTTCCTCCTCCATGTGACTGTTCTAGATCAAAGAACTTCATCGAATTCATGCAAAAGCAGAAGGTACTGAAGTTTCTAATGGGCTTAAATGACAACTATGAGCAGGCTCGTAGACAAATTCTTAAGACCAGTCCAACATCAATCATCAACAAAGCATATGCAATGCTTATTAAAAGGGAAAGTCAGAGGTCAGTAGCTAATGCCTTTGTTGTTGGTGAAGGGATTGACTTAGTTGCTTTGCTAACTGGTAAAGGAGGAAATTACCAGAACTATCAGAAACCAAAGAGAAACTGGAATATACAATGTGATTTTTGTCACATGAAAGGGCATACAAAAGAGGGATGCTACAAGATAATTGGTTACCCTCAGGACTTCAAGAACAAGAAGAAAGGAAATACAAACACAACATATAATGTTCAGGTTGAGAATCTTGAGAAATACCAGAGGCAATAAAGGAAGGAAACTGGCAAAGAGCACCTCAACTCACAGCAGATCAGTATGATTAGATCATGAAGCTGCTCAACAAAGATCCTCCAAAGGAAGTAATGGCTAACATGGAAGGTACAATTTATGTCTTTATGGCTAACATAGCAAAGGAAAATTAGATAGCCGATATAGGAGCAAACAACCATATGGTAGCTGATTTAGGAATGTTAACAAATGTCAAGGACATTAGCCCTACTAGAGACAAAAGAGTTCACTTGCCTAATGGAGATTGTACAATTGTGTCACATGTTGGTAATTGTAAGATCACATAAACAGGGGAAGCATAAGATGTACTGGATGTTCCTGAGTTTGCATACAACCTACTTTCAGTATCAAAGATAACAAGAGACTTACATTGATTTGTCTCCTTTTACCCTGATTTTTACCTATTCTCGGACCTCTCAAATGGGAAAGTAAGGGGGATTGGTAGAGAGAAAGATGGACTTTACTTGCTGGTCCCAAAGGCTTGTCTTAAGGCTTGAAATAATACACCACTAACAGTCAAAGGAATAAGTGTACAGACACAAAGGAGGACATATTTCTGTGGCACAAAAGGTTAGGACACGCATCTGGAGGATCTCTGAAGGAACTTCTGCGATATAAATTGAAGGATTGCAAATCTGTAATAGATAGTTGTGATATATGTCTAATGGCTAGACATGTGAGACAACCTTTTTCATTAAGCAGTACTAAAGCCACTAGAATTTTTCAGTTATTGCACTTAGATGTATGGGGACCTTGCAGTACACCAACATTTGATGGTAACAAATTCTTCCTCACAATTATAGATGATTACTCTCGTGTGACTTGGATCTTTCTCTTGCAATTTAAAAGTGCTATTATGATTATTTTTAAGTCATTTCTTAAGCTGATCCAAACACAATTGAATGGAATAGTACAGACAATTAGGTCTGACAATGGTGGAGAGTTTGTAAATTCAGCAATGCAAAACCTATGTAAGTCTATGTGAATAGTTCACCAGAAAACCTATGTTTATACATCACAGCAAAATGGTGTAACTGAGAGAAAATACAGACGCCTACTTGAAGTTGCAAGAGCTTTCAAGTTTCAAGGCCATATCCTAATGGAATTCTAGGGACACTGTGTCCTGGTTGCAACATATATTATTAACAAGCTACCATCATAGGCAATTGATGGTAAGTCACCGTATGAGTTGTTCTTTTGCAGGAAGTCTTCCATTTCTCATCTGAAAACACCAGGATGCTTATGTTTTACAAGTGCCCTACCCAGGACTGATAAGTTTGTCAGTAGAGCTTTCAGGGCAGTTTTTATGGGATACTCTGATGTCATTAAGGGATACATCCTTTATGATTTTGGATAGACACAAGTTCTTTGTCAATAGAGATGAGGTGTTCGGGGAATCTGTGTTTCCCTTTCAAGCTATTAATGATGACCTTAGGAAACAAATCAATCCCTGTATTCACAGTACTACTGATGATCATTTTGGTTTTGAAGGTGCAAATAGAGATATCCATATTCCTGCAACTGAGCAGCTATATATGTCAGATAAAAATGCATATGACATTATTCCTAGTATTGAGCACTTACATGATTCAGACAGCATTGAACATGATTTACATACTGAAGACCAGCCTTATACTACCACTGAAAGCACCTCTCCTATAATCAGTGATTCAGAGGTTATCACATCCTTCCCTACTCCTCATATTGCAGAGACCTATCCTAATTCCCTAAGAAGATCACAGAGGGAATCTAAGGAACCTATCTGGCTGACATATTATGACACCATAAGGAAATTAGTTAACACTGTCTTATATCCCATCCAAAATTATGTCTCATATGATAATCTTTCTCCTTCTTACCAGGCATACTTGGGTATATTCTCTTCTGTTGTTGATCCCAGAATCTTTCAAGAAGCTTCTAAGGATGCAAGATGGGTTGAGGTTATGCAAATTGAACTTCAAGCTTTGCAAGACAACAAGACTTGGGAACTGGTTCCTTTGCCTCAAGGGAAGACAACAATAGGTTGCAAATGGGTATACAAAGTCAAACTCAAGGCCAACAGAGATGTGGAGAGATTCAAAGCTCGGTTGGTAGCCAAAGGCTACAATCAAAGAGAGGGTCTTGATTATAATGAGACCTTCTCCACTGTAGTGAAGATCACCACTGTGAGAACTGTAATTTCATTGGTAGCAATGCAGAATTAGCTAGCCCACCAGTTGGATGTATATAATGCATTTCTGCAAGATAACTTACATGATGAAGTTTATATGCACTTACCACATGGTTTTACACGTCAAGGGGAGTCTGGGTTGGTATGTCGACTTGCAAAATCTCTCTATGGTCTGAAACAAGCAAGTAAACAATGGAACCTAAATGTGATAGAGGCCTTATTGCAGGCTGAATTCAAACAAAGCAACCTAGATCATTCATTTCATCAAAAGGAATGGAGTAGATATAGTGGTAATACTGATATATGTGGATGACCTATTGGTTACAGGAAACAACATGCAGTTGATTGAAACCACCAAAATGTTCTTACAGCAGGGCTTCAAGATTAAAGACTTAGGTGAATTGAAGTTTTTTCTTGGCATGGAGTTCAGTAGATCCAACAAAGGTATTTTTATCAACCAAAGAAAATATGTACAAAAAATAATATCAGATTTGGGATTAGGTAGATCAAAACCAACATGGGCTCCATTAGAGGCAAATGTCAAGCTGATAGTTCCAAAACTGGATCAATTGGTAGGCATAACAGGAGATCAAATGTTGGAAGATGCAGGTCAATATCAGAAGCTGATTGGAAAGCTATTGTATCTGATTATGTCCAGACCAGACACTGCATTCTCAGTACAAACTCTTAGCCAATTCATGTAACAACCAAAGAAGTCTAATTGGTATGCAACTATAAGAGCGGTAAAGTACATCAAAATGGAACCATGACTAGGGAACTTATTGAGCAGTCAAACTTCAAATGAGATCAATGTGTTTTTTGATGCTGATTGGGCCTCATGTCCTAACACTAGGAAGTCAGTGTCAAGATATCTAATTAAGTATGGAGAATCTTCAGTTTCTTGGAAATCCAAGAAACAAAATGCAGTCTCTAAATGCTCCGATCATGTTATTAAGAAATTTGGACCCGACTAAATGGCTTATGTAATGGTACAAGAATGATATGTAGAGGCTTTGACAACAACGTTATCCATGCAGAAATAATGATGGGCGAAAATGCTTCCAAACATGTGTTTATTCCCAGAATTCAACTTTCGCCTCCAAAAAATGAAGGTTACCCTTTCAAATTCATCAGAAAATAATTTCCAGTACGATTATGCTTTTCGATGACAATAAATAAAGCACAAGGACAAACAATACCTAATGTGGGACTGTACTTACCGCAACACGATTCTCACATGGACAACTATATGTTGCACTCTCAAGGGGAATATTTATGTCAACAACAAAGGTTTTAGTCTTGACCGAGCAGCCGAAGCGAAAAAAAGGAACATATACCAAGAACATCATCTATAAAGAGATATTAGGTAAGATTCACCACCAAAACATAGCATATATCATAGAAACATAATGATGATCTTTTGTTATTCTTCAAGCAATATTTTCTTTTTTATGAAACTTCCTCAACTATACACAATTTAATTATACATATTATACATAAATTTTACATATATTACAACTATATAATTATATTTATTTTTACAGATTCCGAACTATTTCGCTGAATGCATCGACAATACCATTATATTTTAGAGGTGCCTGCCTCTTACTAGTATCAACTGAAGCAACATTCTTCATGGCGCACGTCAACATTGTTCAACAGATGACATCAAGAGGGTAGCAACAATCTGACTAATGGTTCCAGCAACATCACCACACCCATGCTTCATTGTAACACTCAATTTAGTGTCTACACGCTCAATATAACTATTTCTTTAATGTAATAATTTTTTTTGCATCGTCAAGTGTCATTACACTTAATTCATTCTTATTCAATTTAATATGCACTATTTTAGACCGTTTACCATTTAAATATTTGTTGTATCATCAATTACCTTTATACTTAATTCATTCTTATTCTACCTAATTAAAATACGCTCTTTTGTGCATAACACATAATACACGTGCAACGCACATACACTAAATCTAGTATCTATTAAATATTTCAACCTCATTCAATGTGTATCTATTAAATACTTAGGTGACAATCTCTCACAACTATAAAATGCGTGAATCTCAAAACTCGATGACTTGGCAAAAATATCGAATTAGAACGTGACACATGGAAAACTAACTTTAAAAAAGAATAAATTCTTTTCTACGAAAAAAATAAATAAATCCAGAACCCTTCTCGCCTCCCTCCCCCCAGAAAAAATAAAATAAAAAATAATTCTTCTCCTCATCTTCTTCGCTCACACTAACCCCACTTTTTATCTCTATTTTCACCCTAAATCAGCACCACCCATTTCTCCATTGCAACTTTACCAGACAAATCATCTCCACCCTTTGTAGTCATAAAATTTGAGAGAAAGAACAAAAAATGTAGCAAAATTATTCCAAACCCAGCATACATTGTAGTTACAAATGGTATTAGCCAATTTTAAACGTGACAATGGACAATCTTATCAAGAAAAGACCTGCACCAGAGGTAACCTCGCAGCAGAGGTCGCGACGCCGCCACTCTTGGTCCTGCTCACCGATTCCACAATCCACCGCCAAGGTTCACTAAATTTTTTTAGATATGTTATATTATGCACCTATTCACCGGCGAGATCACCAGAGCCTTCGCCGGAAAATTCATCTAGCCATTACACACCGAGTATGCAAAAAAAAAAAGGAAAATAGGGAAGAAGAAGTTTGCTTCTCTTTTGGCTAAAAACTGATCAGAATGAAAAACTCACAAAAAATGGATCATGATGGAGCACAATACCAAATGGAGAAAACGAAAGAAAAGAAAAATTAGAGAACATATGAAGAGAGAGGAGAGAGAGAGAGAGAGAGTTAATTGTGATACCCGAATGTTTAGTTTGGACATGCTCACGTATAAGGTGATAATGGTTAAAAGAAAGCAGATAACCACCCATATTATCCATTAAAAATGGGTTGGATAATGAACTTTTTAAAAACAGATCAAATATGGATAAGAATCATATTATTCATTTAGAAAATGGATAACCAATAGGTAATCAATGGGTCTAACTTTAATATTTGTAAAACATCAAATTAGGGATTTCTCAAGTTAGGGAGACTAAGAATTCTCCCAAAAGTGATCATATGCAAGAAGTCATGAATAATATGATTACTCATATTATCCGCAGGTTAACCCATTTTTTATCCGTATTAAATATAAGTCGGGTCAGATAATTTATCCGTTTTTTCATTATCCGTTTTCAACCCGAACCATATTCGACCCAACCCGCCAGTTTGTCACTCCTACCCCCGTCTAAGTGGTAAAGTGGATGTGAGAAATATTTTTTGCCGTGTCAGCTTGTTATGTTTAATAGATACACATTAAGGGGTCGTTTGATTTGAATACGGCTTATGCTGGGATAAGTTATACTGATACACAAGTTATGCTGGGATTAGTTATGCTGGAATTGTTTTTATTCATTGTTTGTTATGTTGTATTAAATATGACAATTGCATAATTTGTAAGAAGAATGCATAAGTTATATCGGTGCTAATTACCACACCCTCTATAAGGTATAAGTTATCCCCGTATTAATTTTAATCATGGGATAATGGTTTGCTAACCAAACGAAGTATTAAGGTGATATTAAATTTTTATACCGGCACTATACCTTCTTATACCTTATACCAAACGACCCCTAAGTGAGGTTGAAGTATGTAATAGGTACATGACTCAATTGAAGTAGCTAAATGAAAATATTGAACAAGTTTAAAGAGCCGTATATGAATTCCGCAAAAAAAAATAATGATGTTCGGTACTTTAGTTTAGTTACTTTTTGAGTTGCAATTAAAAAAACAACAACAAAAAATCCAGTGTAATTCATAAAGTTGGTATGGAAAGGATAGAGTGTACGCAGATCTTATCTCATCTTGTAAAGGTAGAGGCTTCTTCAATTACAAGTTTGCAACTATATATCTATTTATCATATTCAAAATTCAAATATAATAAATCACTTTATCAAAACATGTAGATACATTTGAATCGCTAATTTGTAAATAGTATTCACCTTAATTTAAAAGAAGTAGACGATACAAAGAACATTTTAAAGAGATAAAAGTTAATCTGCTAACATATACTACAAAACACATTTAAACAGTTAACGGTTTTACTGAATTCCCCATGACACTTAAAAAATTAATTAAAAAATATTTGAACACCTTTGGCGCAATTTTAGGATTGCAAACGTGGGCCCGTTCGTTTTACCTCCGCCTCGTCCGTACCTAATTCCTAATCCACCACTTGTGTAAGAGCTAAAACCCTAGCCTCACCTGAAACCGGCATCTCTCCCGGCTCCACTCTCCTCTAAAAAGCTCACCTCCCTTAAATTCATCAACAAAACCCTAATCAATTTGTTTGAAAAAGTTGAATGAAGATGGGTTATTGTTGTGAAAATGCTGCATATCGGCTAATCTCTTCATCTTCTTCCTCTGTTCTTGCTCCTTCCAAAATATATTCATCAAAAACCCACCTTTTCCCACTGTTTCCCCACTCTGCAAAATCCGCAGTTTACAAAAGCTCCTCTTTTCTGCACCTCCAATCTCTGCCGTCCGTTTTGGGTCTCACCTATTTGCGCAAAAGGGTGAATTTTTCGATTGTCAATGAGCAAAGCCCCAATAATGATTCTGTTGTTCAAAAGCAGAAATTGGGGAAAAGAACAGATATAAAGAAGATTTTGATACTGGGTGCAGGGCCAATAGTAATAGGACAAGCTTGTGAGTTTGATTATTCAGGTACCCAAGCTTGTAAGGCTCTTAGGGAAGAAGGGTATGAGGTTATACTGATTAATTCGAACCCTGCAACGATTATGACCGACCCCGAGATGGCGGACAGGACTTATATTGAGCCAATGACACCTGAACTTGTGGAGCAAGTCTTAGAGAAAGAGAGTTGTTATTTGTGGCTTGAATTATTTCCTTGTATTTTGAGGAAACCCATAGTTCTATAGATTTAGGAAAACCCATAGTCCTATAGGTTTAGGAAAACTCATTGTCCTAATAGATTTGA